TGGAGCGTCCTGCGGGCGGCCGAGCTCGGCTGAGGACTCCCGGCGCGGATGGTGGCAGCGAAGGTCTTAGGGCTCCGGAGGGCGCTACTGTGGGCTCCGTGTCTCGGCTGAGCTAGGTGGCTGCCTCCATGCCCTTCCTCGAACCATCTGATAGTTTTAAGCGGTGACAGGAGCAGAAAAGACCCCTGTAGCGGCGCTTCATTAATGTGCCACTTCTTAGCTATCATATGACAATCGCCTTGGGAGGAGGAGGAAGAGGAGGGGGAGCGGGGGCTGCAGAGGGAGGGGACTGAGCGAGAAGGGAGAGCCCGGCCAGCTCTGGTTTCTTTCACACCTATTTACATGGACACCTTGGCCAATAGGAATTACTTCCAGCTCAAGACTGGGCGAAGGGGAAGAGCCTCGGCCACTGGCAGCAAGCAGGACGCGCCGGCCGGTGTGCGCCGTGTGAAGGTATGAGGAGGCGGCCGCCGCGGAGCAGGGAGCCAGGCGACCACTCACATTCACAGATGGAGCAGCCGCGCAGATGATGTTTGACATGGAAATTGCTTGGCTGGGGTATTCTGTTTCCTCTGCGTTGTATCCGGTTTGTATCTGTTAGGTAACTTTAGGCACGGCTTTCCCCTGAAACCGACCCTTTTCCTGCGCTTAAGCACTACCCGGGGTTGTTTGCATGGGTTGTAATAATGAAAACACACCCTTGCCCCCTAGTACCCCAGGAGTTAGGTTGAAATTTGACTTGACCTTCCTATGAAGCTGCTTCAGCTCTGTTTAGTTAGGTGTGTAGCTTTGAAAAAGTGATGGAATTTACAAAATACTTTCAAAATGTGATTGGACATCCCCATGTAAGAGCCCATTTTGAATGTAACTGTATTGATCAAATTTTTAAAAATCAGAATAGTGTATCTGGGCGAAAAGTCCAGGTATTTGCTTTAAAAGTCCTCCGGGAATTTGGTTGGACACAGGACGGAGGCTCAGGGGCTGTTGGGGCAAATGTTGTGCGTACCTGGGGAGGGCCTGAGTTTGATACAGTTTATCACCAGGTAAGCCTCAGGGGCTCTCGCTTTTCCCAGGTGGTTTGAAACTTTACAACTCAGGCATATCCTGGAAGTTTTCATTTTACAGCCGAAACTCCCACTAGGTCATAATTTAATGTAGACACCCCCCCCTTTTTTTTTAATCCTTTGTTTTAAAACAGGCATGCTGGGAACAAGAACATCAATATTTAAAATGCCATGCTAA